TAACTCAATTATCAATGAATACTGCTCATTTTAGGACATTTTCCAGAAGAATGAACAGATCATTCAATTTCTTCATATTTCATTTTTCTTTATTTTTATTAAAATTTTTTACAGTACGAATAGGTAAGGAAGTTGAAAAGAAAAGAAAAAAAAAAAAAACAAATTCTTTTATATAAAATTTTGATCAAATCTTCGAGAAATTTTTCCTTTTTTTTTTTTTTTTTTTTTTTTTGCAGAATAACTTTTTTTTAAAACTTGTAAAAAATTCAAGAAAAGCAGAATTTAATTTTTTTTTAATTAAAATTTTAAAATTAAAAAAGCAAATTTTTTTTCTCTTTTGAAAAAAATAGTTATAATCAAAGATTAAAATATAGATAGCAAATATTTAATATGAAAATAACAATGTGATTTTCACGATATGTTTTTCAGTTTTTAAGAAAAATGATAAAGATGATGAAGCAGAAAGGATTAAGAAATGATAAATAGGATTAAAATTTAAGAATGATTTTTAAAGCTGTGAAATGGAATTATGAAATAGTATTTAAGCTCACTTATGTTAATTTTTCGAAAAAAGAATAACAAACATACCCACTTTGATAATTTTTTTTTTAAAAAATAACCACAAATAATTAAATAAAAAAAAAAAATGAATGAAAAAAGTTTTACACCAAAAGAAATGGGAAGTGTGAAGATATAACGGAATTTTCCCATATAATTATTATTACTCTAAAATATTCCAACAAAAATATCACCCACCCATAGAGGAAATGACCGCTTGACCTGACCTGGTCCAATACACATGAACAATTAACGCCAAAAACATCAACACCATCATTATTATTATTATTATTATTATTAATTATCATTATTATTATGAAGGTCGAAATAAAAATGCTAATACTATTTTATATCAAACGATGTAGACAAGGTCATTGATGGTGGATTGTTTCTTTAAACATGAAATATACCGCTTGAAATGTGTTAGTTTCCTTCCTCTTTTTCTCAAAAAAAAAAAAAGGAAATAGAAATGAAAAGGAAAAATATGAAAATTTTCTGAATAAACTAAAATGATTATTTTTTTAAAATTATTTTTAGATTTAAGCTTTTTTTTTTTTTTTGAAATAAAAGAACAAAAAGAATATCGCATTAATTTCAATTCATTTTCTTACCTCAAATGACAAAAAGTATAGGATTGATAAAGAAAAAAAATGAGAAGATTAAGTATTCAAATATAAATTTTGGAATGTAACATCAATTTTTGGTTAGGAAATTAATTTTTAATTTCAAATTTACTATATTATTCAAATACCATCGTGCTATGTCACATTTCCATATTCAAAATATATTAAGTAATCTTATTAAACGTCGAATTTAGTTTTTTATACTTTCTTTTAATACTTTTGTGATGTATTCTTTAAATTAATTAGTCATATATCCTTAGGTTAATTAACTATGTGTCCTATTTAGCTAACTTCCTTAGTCAATCTCATATCTTAAGCTTTCATTCTACGCTTAGACATCAATAATTAGCAATTAAAATTTTATTTTCTTAAAATAATAATAAATAATAATTTTATCTATTATTAATTTACTAATAAAATGTCTAACTTTCACATATGTCACCATTATTTCATGCCTAAATAAAATACAGCAATATGACATTTACACAAGGCTTTAAATTTTGAATGACCTTGATTAATTTAAAGGAAAAAAAAAAAAGAAGAATGAAAGAGAACAATGATAAATAGAAGATGCATTGTTCTTACCGTTCGCAATTCACCAAAGATACTAATGATCGAAAGCTAATATCATTGCATTCCCTAAAGATACTTCTCGATCATCGATAGGCTTATATCATTGTTTAAACATTAAACTCTTCTTCATATGTTAACCGATCAAATGCTATAATTGTAGTTTATTTCTCAAAATCTATTTTGCATAACAGAGACGATGCTTACTGCTTGCTTATTGTTTACAAATTGTGCTACTACTGCTCAAATATTATTATTATTATTATTGAACTAATTTTGTTATCGCTCATCATTAATAGTACGATGTAACAATAAATAATAATGCAATTAAAGTTAAAATTTATGCGAAATTAGCGCAATTAACGCAATAATTTCTACATTTTTCTCTTATCAAAAAGAATAATTTTAATGCGTAGAAGAAAATTTTGAATAAACATTTTTTTTAGCAACAATTTTATCCAAATTTTATTAACAAATTTGATAATTTTGCGAATAATTTAGATAATTTAGATTTTGAAATTTTACAAATATTTTGCTGTCTTTAAAAAATACAATTAGATTTATTTCTTATCTCAAGATTCTACTGTAAAATAGGGTAAAAAAAAAGTGAAATAATCCAAAAAAAAAGAGTTAAAGGCAGGAAAGTTTAAGTTAGATGACAGATTAATAAATAAAATGAACAAAGATTAAGATTGTAAGATTTAAGGCAATTAATTTCTGTTTTAGTTTTATTTTTATTATTGTAAAATATATATATATATATGTACTTAATTTGTCTATTGTAATTAATTTCCGTTTTATTTCATAAAATATGAACCTTCTTAGAAGAAAAACAAAGAAAAGACACTTAAAGAAATGAAAAATAGAAAATAAAAATTAAAAAGAAAAAAGAAATTGATAAGTTTTATGAAATATTCGAAAAATGGAGGAGGAAGATTTGTAAAAGTTTATCGAAATTGAGAAATCCCTTTTACAGCAAAAATTAAGACATGAATTTGAGATTCAGACTTTACATTTCAAACAAACTCCGACAACAAATGCTAAGAGTTTTTCGAAGTTATACTTTTCATCAGTTCAATCATTTTTTTTTTTCTTTATTTCAATTAAATGCTGTAAGAAATTGAATTAATTCAGCACAAAATAGCTGTACTATTGCAATTGAATTTTTTCTTCTTTTAAATTATTTCAAAGTATGAAGTTGCATGTTATCAAACAGTTATCAGTTAAATTATTAGGAGAAAGAAGCAGTGATAAATGTTATCTTTTACTAGTTTTACATTTATCAATAAGCTAAGTGAAAATATTTTTCTTTCTTACCACATTTCTTCAAAAAACAAGCTAAAAAAAAGACAAATTGTGAGAGTGAAAAGTAATAAAAGTAAATTAAATTTAGAATATTTCTAACTTAACACTTTTATCCTTGCTGAACTACAGTTTGTTGTTTCACTTGTTGGATGCAAATTTAATTCACAAGTAGCTAATTACTTCTATTAGAATTTTCCGAAAAGACTGAGATTCTTGATTTGGTTGATAAATTCATCAGGAATTTTCATTTTCACTGCTTCTCTTCTTCCGTTCTCTTTTCATTGTTTACAATTTGATTTCAAGCAAAACGGCGATAACTTCAAGAAAATGTTGAAAAAAAAAAAAAAAATGATAAAACTAGAAAATTAGTAAAATCAGATGAGAAATGTAAAGCTATAAGCTTAGGTTAGCGTTGAACTAATTTTTAAGTGGTTATCTTTTCAGTGTAAATACTTCAAATACGTTTCCGAATTATTCATAAAAAATTTTTCTTCAGGCTAATTAAAACTTGATCAGCTAATTTTATTCACAATAGCATTGACTGATTGATTGATTGATTGATGCATCATTCTTACAATCTCAAATACTTTCAACAAAAATTAATTTACTTATGCTGGCGTAGCATCATCAAAATGTTACATAACTAATTTAAGTGTGAAATTCTTTTTTTTAAGCAAAAGAAAGGCCAAAAAAAAATAAATAAATAAACTGTTTGGCAGATACTACAAACTACACCATTAGATGTCCTTATCAATGTTCATTGTTTATCAGCAATGATATTACCCTTATCTTTCTCAAATGCTGTTGAAAATTTTATCAGTGAAATTGAAGTTTCTCAATTACGATTAGCATTTATTGATAACATGTAATTCTCACTTTGGTTTTCATTAATTCAATAACATTTTTCGTCACTGATTTAGTAAAACAGACAAGTTTTTGTGTTGGAAATTTTAATAAATTTCAAATTTCTTCATAAAGCTGAAATTTTTGAATTTAATTAATTACGAGACGAGCAGACTTCACGTGTCCTCGGTAGTATAGTGGTGAGTATCCGCGCCTGTCACGTGCGAGACCCGGGTTCGATTCCCGGCCGGGGAGTGTACCTCTTTTATTTCCTTTTCCCATTTATTTTTAAAAACGTGCCAGTGAAATTAATGTAACATTTTAATGGTTAGTAAAAAATTTTGCAAATAGAAGAAAGAAATGAGATATGCGGAATATGACAAAGTGAACGAAAAGAAGAGATGGAATTTGTTTTAAGAAAAAAAAGTGATTTCATTTTAAAAATTCATAAATTAATGTTGTTGCTACTTAGTAGTAGTATTTAATTTAAGGTGAATTAAAACGGAGAGAGAATAGATAAAAATAATAAAGAAAAGGAGAAAAGAGATTAAAATTCAATAACATAAATAAGAATGAATAGATTTAGTGCTAAACCAACTGATCTATCAATTCTCTCTAATCAAATGATAAAATTCAATTTCCTATCATGACCTTTCAAGGGAATATTTTCCTTTCTCTCTCTCATCTTTTTTCTTTTTAACTGTTAAATTGAAAAGAAATTTTTTTAAGAAAAAAAGACAAAAAAATATCATACATATAAGGCCAGCCAGTAAAAGTTAATTCTTAAGGAAAAGCTAATTTTAGCAAAAACAAAATTATGTTCATACTTTGTCTGCTATATGTAATATTTGTGAGGCATTGAATTATTAATTAAATTTCAATATAGAAAGATGAATGTATTTAATATGGTGAAGAAATTTTTAAAAATGTCAAATTTTAATGGAAAAAGAAAAGATTAATTGTGTAACTGTTTATTATTACATAGCATTTGTCTTTATGGATTAATACTAATAACATAAGCAGTTCAATGAGTAATAAAAATGTTTAATAAGCAAAAAGAAAGAAAAAAGAGAAATGAAAAGAATAGGAATGTAAACTCACGCATAATTGTTGCTTGGTTAAATAAATCGTGTAGAGCTTTCTCATTAACCGGAATAGATACTTATGACAAAAGCCAAAATGACGTGAATGACGTGAAAATTTCTTTGTGGGATAATTTGCAGACAGAATGAATCAATTATTAGTGATATAGTATCCTGCAAAAAAAAAAAAAAGATTAATGAATGAATAAATTGCAGTTGACCGTGATATTGTATAATTTGAAAGAAACGTTGAGCAATTCTAATTTATCAGCAATTCAATGTTGATATGATAAAAATAATCAGTATGTCTTCTTTTAATGGGATTAAATTGACATATTGACATTAAATATTGGGTTGAGAACTTGTTCCTGTTGCTTGTTATTGTTGTTGTTGTTGTTGTTGTTGTTTAGCATTGCTATAGAATTAAGATAATTTGAAATGCTAATTAGCATTGAAATAGAATTAAGATAATTTGAAAAAATTTTTTCTATTTTACAAATTTATTTTAGTAGATGGCACATAATATCAGTAAAGAAGAATTTAAAAAAAAAAAAATCGAATAGAAATAGACAGTATACACTTTTCTTCTGAATTCTAACGAAAGAGAAAAGATTGTAATGGTCGCAAAAATTTGAAATCTGCGTGGAAAAATCAAAGATCAAAGATAGATATGCAAAAGTCTAAGATTTTCGAGCAATTCCAATATCTTTTTTCATTAATGATGTCGAAATTATGGCAAAAATTATCAATAAATATTAATAAATAAAGAATAAAAATATTCGTTCGATTAAATTTTACAATTTTTGTTGAAAAATTTTATTTGTAAATTAAATTAAATTGATTCCATAGATTATGCAATATAATATTTGCATTAAGTCATCAAGCAACAACTAAAATGAACTGAACATCTAATATTTTGAGTTTTTTTTTTTTTTTTACAGATAAATACCCATTATACATTAAACAGTAAATAAAATTAAATTCGGTATGATAGCTTATCACTGTGATACAACTTTTGCACTATCGATAATATGATAAACATTTCAAACATAATTAAATTAGAATAATTCATTTTCAATAATTTCACAAAATTATTATTATAAAATGAAATTTGTAGAGGATATGAAAAAATATGAACTTATACATTTACAAGATCAAATGAAACAAACATTATACATATATAAGTATGTGTATATTAGCGCCATAAAGTGATTTACCGCCGTTCATGTTCATGTACATTTGTACACATTAAACAGAATTTACATAGATGATATGAAACAATGAAAAGTATGACAAATTATTGTCATATATTGCAAGAGAAATAGAGGATGAAGAAAAAAGTGGTTCGAAACTTGTTTGGAAAATCAAGAATGAAATTTGTTTGAGTGTTTCTCATTTATCATACTGATTTCTGGTTTCTTAGCATACATATTCTATCCCATTCATTCTTTGCATCCTTTGTTTCAATGAAATCATCTTAATTTTTACCTTCTAATCTAGATTTAATTGCTATTGTATTGGTATTCATTTCATAATCATTCGTTATTGACAGGAAGTGAAAATTAATTATGATAATATTGATAACAGATCATAAAGTTTATCAGCTATCAGCACTCTTGCAGTATTGTCATTTTTACTACTATAGTAGTGCTTCAAATACGAGAAATATTAAAAATTTGACTCATCCTTTTTTTTTTAAGTCTTCAAAATTTTATCAATAGAGAAGTGTCATTCTCGAATATTTTCAGCAATTGAATTTTTAGTTCATTACAAATTGTAAAAATTTCTACTGGTAAAGTTTACATTATTATCATTTATATTGCAAAGTGAAAGATGATATGATATAGCTTGAAAAGTTAAAAATGACTTTGAATCGATGCATAATTTATCGAAAATATCTCGAAATAAAATAAGTCAAAAAAGAAACAATTTTCAGTTAATTTACTTTATCAACACCACCATAAAAATGCAATCAAATGATAGCATTTTGACTTTTTTTTTTTTAATAACCAAAATGAATTTTAGTCTTAGTCAAACCACTTAGATAATTTGTTATTATGTACAAATAATAACTTTCAATACAAACATTTAGTGGCCATTTCATTGATGAAACCATAGCTTGAGGAAATGTAATAAATTTCGATGATTGATAGCAACATTGATGATGATAATGCTGATAACGATGGTTTCGATGATGACTGTGACAGTGATGATGATGATGGCGATGATAATGATGATGATGATGATGATGATAATGATGATGCTGATGATAATGATAAGTTTTTTTTTTTGATTAGTTCGATAAATCAGCCGTTCCATGCATGTCGTGTTTGTTTTTAAGTTTAGCCGAATATTACTTATAGTTTGTTTGTTTGTTGTAAACAGTCGTAATCATAGGAAAAGCTAAAACAATCAACAAATATTTGAGTTATCTGAAAATTTTGATCAGATAACTTAGCCTTAAATGATTGCTGATTGCTCTTTATCGTAGAAAGAACAAAATGAACTTTGATTTAAGGTATGTCAATGAGAGAGTGGTAATCAGTAATACAGCAAATAAAAGCAAAATTTTATTAATTATTTCAATCAAAGCTAAAAACTAAATTTAGTGTTCATTCAATGTTCCAATATATTCAAATAAATAAATTTAATTTTGGATCACTACTTTTATTTTTTTTTTCGGTTAGTATATCCTTGCCTATTATTTCCTTTTTGGAAGTTAAAATTCTCGAAATTCAAGCAAAATCATCTGTTAATTTAATTTTTATCAAGTACCGCCTAAAATTTACATTTTAAAAATGTTACACAAATAATATTTCGCATCGCTATGTGGATATATTATGGAAAATTGCAAAAAAAAGATTTTCTGAGAAATTAAAAAATAACCAATTAATTGAAATTTGTTTACATCTAAACCTAACGATTGATCACATTTGATCAAGAAATAACGGAAGTTCAGTCTTCACTTTACTCAACACACATCGTAATCCATTCATTTGACTAAATGACCTAAATCTAAATATTCTTTCACACTATCAAACAGCAATCTCAAATGGTTGCAATTCTTTAAAAATTAAATCATCGGTCGAACGGTCAATTTCATTGTGTGTTTTTCTATTAGTAATTGAAATTTGATGTCCTTCAAAAAAAAAAAAATAATTTTCCTACTTTTTTTTTCTGAATTAATGACATCATTGTTGATGTTCAACTCAATTTATTGTCATAAATATTTTGTTAATACGAGAAATGAGAACTGAATTAGAAAATAATTATACTAAAAAAAAAAAAAATAAAAATACATTTTATATAGTTTCTATGCGATGTGTAATGGATTTATTCACCCCTCATAGTTCGTAATATAAATTTTTCATAAATTTTGTATCTTTTGATGTTATGCTTTTTTTTCTTTTCTTTCCGATCACAAAAATTAATCGTTTGCATGATGTCATATATTTAATATAAATAATATCAAATGAAAAAAATTCCAGAATTAAGGAATTAATGTGTCTGAGATAAAACAACTAATTATATGCTACTGTGAAAATAAAAAGTATAAATTAATAAATTATGCGATGTCACTTTGATAAGCAACTGAAATGAAATTGTGAAGAGAGATACTAAAAAATTGAATCGAATAATTTTTACAATGGAATCAAGAGTACAAAATAGTGATTAGAAAGTTAATTGCTATTAAAAAATTTTTTTCTGAGTTCAAAATTAGAGAAAAAAATCAAATCAGTGTAAATTTTAAAATAATAAATTAAAAAAAAAATGATGAAATATTTAAGTAATTGAAGATGAAAGCATTTATAAAACTGGAAAAGATAGTCGAGTATTTCAATTTCAAGAATCAAAGCAAACACTACAAAAAAAAAAAAATTGCACGATTTAAGAAAAAAAATTAAGAAAAAATTTCAATGCAAAATAATATTCAAAACAAAATGTAAAACAGGATTAGGATGAACTGAATCAATAATTTCCGGATGAACTGAATTTAAGAAAAGGATTGATGATGAGTGACAATGATGTAAAATAAACTAACCGGTCTGAAGTGGATGAAATGCTAACAATTTGAATGATGTTATCGGTACTCAAAATACTACTCATTACTTCTTGAAATATGATACTATTCCAATTCTCTTAAATAATTGTATGATTCGAAAAATGGTTAAATTATTTCTGATTAAATCTGACTAACAATGATAGGGCAATAATTGAAGTTAGCAAATAATTAGCAATTATAAAATATAAAATTTGCATACATTCATGTCCATATAATAACAACTATAATTAATCAGAAAGATTTCTTTGCGCTATAGTTTTGACAATTCCGCCCATTGCTATAGATAAATGATAAAAAGCGCCACGCATTTTCAAGTATATTTAAGCAATTTATTGCATGAAGAAATAAAATTCAACGATCCATCATATTATCATCAAATATTGCTTTACCAAAAATTTATCCAATTGTTTTATTCGTCATTTGTTATTTACTTTTGATAAGAAAATTGAATTCCTTCCTCGACATTTCACACTTTTTTAGTGATATATTGTTTCAAAATTATAACTTTTACAGAATAATTTTTTAATGAAACAATTTCTCATATTCACAAAATTTATGCAATAAATCAAATGTTTAAACTCGAAGTTATTAATTTAAAAAATAATGATTGAAATGATGAAAAAATAATGAAAAATAACAAAAAAAAATGAAAAATGATCAAAAAATTGCTTGACATATTATTCTTTACACTATTTTCATGAGTTTTAAGATCATTATACATTATAAAGAAAGATCGGATAATAGAGGTATCATAAAACATTTCTGAAAAAGGTCACCTGGCTTTACTGTAATTCTCTCTTCCATAAAAGTATTGCGACAAAATGACAGTAGAATGGGATTGTAAAATGGGTACCATGTCACTATTACATACCAATATTTCCCCAATAAACTACTATTACTCTTTTACTACTCACTATTAAATCCTAATACTAATACTAATATCAATATTAGTAGTAATAT